GAGGGCAGTGTCACTGGCCCTCATATGTGGGATCCGAACCGGGGCCCTCTGGCGTCCCAAGCCAGCTCTTAACCAATGCGCCACTCGGCTGGCCCCTGGGTATGGTGAAGCCTTTTTAGATACAACATCAAAAACACAATCCATCAAACAAATAATTGATAAGGTGGACTTTATTAAAATTAAAATCTGCTACGCAAAAGATAATATTGAGAAAATTAGAAGACAAGCCACAGACTGGGAGAAAATATTTGCAAAAGATACATTTGATAAAAGACTGTTATCTAAAATATATAAAGGACTCTTAAAGTGAAACCAAAGGATATTAAACAACCCAATTAAAAAATAGGCCAAACACCTTAACAGATACATCACCAAAGAAAATATATGGGTACATTCCACATGATATCTCATCAGGGAAATGAAAATTAAAACAACAATGAGATACTTCTGCACACCTATTAGAATGGCCAATATTCAGAATACTGACAACACAAAATGCTGACAAGGATGTGGAGAAATAGGAACTCTCATTCATTGCTTGTGAGGATACAAAATGGCACAGCCATGCTGGAAGACAGTTTAGAAGTGTCTTACAAAGCTAAGCATACTTTTGCCATAGGGTCCACCAATTGCTCTCCTTGATATTTACCCAAAGAAGTTGGAAATGTATGTCTATACAAAAACCTGCACATGGATGTTTATAGCAGCTTTATTTATAATTGCCTTGGGGCTCAGGGCCTTAGCATTTGCCTTTTATCTGCTTGGACTGCCATTTCTCCCAGATACCCACAAGCCCTCAAACTTCATCTACTTCAGATCTTATTCAAATGACACTGTATAACATAACTGTATTAAATATGGTAACTGTATAGGAAAAACACATACCTGCATTTTCTCCTTTACTCACGCACTCACAATACTTCACTCTGACCCTCCTGGACACCAAATGTGTGGAGGTGTTCGCACACCTCCATGCAATTCTCCATGACACAAGGTGAGTGTCTTACAATTTAACTCAATTCTGACACAGTCCCACAAGACCGTCCTCTCCCACTTCAGATGCCAATCGCAAATCCCAGGTTGTCACCTGTACATCTACCAACACTACAAATTGGGATTCCCACGACCTCCTCCTTGTGTTCAATAACTTGTTAGAATGCTTGCAGAACTCAGGAAAACACTTACTTATCTTTACAGGTTTATCATAAAAGTATATGATAAAGAATACCAATGAATATTCAGATCGGATGAAGTATATGGGAAGGAGCACAGGGTTTCCATGCCCTCACCAGGCACCCCAACCTCCCAGTACTTCCATAGGTTCAGCAACCCATACGCTCTCCACATCCTACAATTTGAAGACTTTTATGGAGGTTTCATCACATAGACATGATTGATCATCAACTCCATTTCCAGTCCGCCTCTCCTCCCTGGAGAATGAGGCGTGGGGCTGGAAGTTCCAAGCACCTAATCATGGCCTAGTATTTATGGTGATCAGCCGCCATCCAGGAGCTATTCAGGAGTTGCCTCATTAGAACAACAGACATTTCCATCACTCAGAGAAGTCCAAGTGACTTAGGAGTTCTGTGTCAGGAATGGGGTCAAACACCAAATATTAGATCAAAAGATGGTCCTAGTGTTCTTATCACTTAGGAAACTACAAGGGTTTTAACTGATTTGTACCAGAAACCCAGGACAGATGTGTGTGTGTGTGTGTGTATCTATATCTATATCTATATCTATATCTATATCTATATCTATATCTATATATAATTTCACAGTAACATATTTTAACATTTAATAAAACTAGTCCCACAGGCATTCACCTTTTATATAATTATGCATGGTTAGTTCAGCATATGTGGTTTAGAATCCTATTGTTAGTTTCATACTGTGTCTCAAAATTAATTAATAAATTAAAATTATGATGATCTCCAGTAAAAGAATAAGGCTTTTATTTCCATGGTTTCAAGTTTGTTTATTTTCCTTCAGTAAGGCTTTACTGTTATATTTATTTAGGTTTGGTTGATGCTTTGTACAGTTTATTTCTAGGTATTTTACTTTTATGGTTGCTATTAAAAATAGGCTTTTTCTCTTATTATATAGTCTGACTAATAGTAGTTTGTAGTTAGAGAAATATATATTTTGTTTGCTTTGTTTTAGTTATATAGCCACTACATTATGGATTTTTTTCTTATATCAATTACAAATTTTAGAGTTTCAAGGTATAAAATTATGTCATCTGTTATTAATGGTATTTTCTGCTATTACATATAAAGTTTGAAACATCTAATTTTTTTCTCCTAATTTTATTGACTAGTAATTCAAGAACAATGTTAAATAAAGAAAATAGTAGGAATCTTCCTAACTAATTTAGTAGAATGGGAATGTTTCTTGTTTTACACAACTAACTGATTGTGGCTTTGGTTGAATACAGTTTTATTATGTTAAGTACATATATATGTGTAAACCTATTATTACTATTAGACAGGGAAATAAAATTGTGTGAGGTGATTTTTCAACATCTAGGGCAGAAAAACACGTTTTTTCTACTTGAGCTATTAATATATTGAATTATATAAAGCTTCTAATATGAACTCATCTACATATTTATACAATAAGGTTAATTGAATTAAACTATATATGCTTTGGCTATATTTTAGATTTAATAATAAGAGGTCATTTGAACACAATTATATTTAGTTCTTTATTTTACTTTTGTTTTAATGATTTTATAGTTTTTTATTAAATATTTCATTAAACCATTTATTTATTTTTTATTTTTGGGTATTGTTTTCCTTTACAGAGCAGAATATTTGTACTCTCTTCTAACTACATCTGAAAATTAATTTTATACTTTTCAATAATTTATGTAATTTTTTTTCTAGATTGAACAAATACTACAGGGTTGACTTCCAGATATACACTTTTTATCACATGAATGTTTAATGAAACCCCCTGATGAAGATGCCTCTAAATAAGGTAAAAACATGACATAATCTCAGGTTTCAGGAAGACTCCTCAGCTAACACAGTGTTTACTCAATGGACTCAAGCACAGAGAGTGTACAGTAAAAGGAATGGAGGCGATGCATGGGCTCAGTAACATGAATTCCCCTGACAAAATTAGACTTGCTGCAATCACTACTGGGAGTCTATAGTTTCAGTTACCATAACATACTATGGGCCACCATATTTCAGGTAACAGCTACTTATTTTGGTGGCATTGGATTACATTTGACACCTTCTAACATAAAAGGATTAATTCCTTATCCTCATTGGAATAAAAACTTACTCAGAATTTGGACTTGCTATTCTTACTCTCTATGCATCTGTACACAACATCATCTCTCTACTTACTGAATGGTATGGAAACCCACACAATATTGCATCTTTCTTTGTCAGTCCCTTTACACAGAAACAGAAATTTACAGGCTGATGAAAATCAGTTACAATGTTAACTATTGACAACATGTGACATACACCTTACAACCCAGCATGGCACTATTTTCCCCATAAATGGAACACCTGACTTCATATATCAAGAGTCCACCACATTTCATTACTTAAATCTAATAATTCATTCACAAAAACAAAAATTTCTCTCTCTGTGGTTTTGGACCCTCCAGACATAGTCATTGTAGGACATAAGGGAAGAATACCTCTAAGAACTGACAAAACCATATATGTATGACAAATTATTGTGATTTCTCTTTCCTTTTTTCTTCTCATCTAGTACTGTATATGGGGAGTATTTATATTAGTTAAGCTAAAAATATTAATAATGGAACAAACATGAGCTAGAAGATAAATGGACATCACTCAGATATTCTGAACTTGGAAATGTCCATAGAAAATGTTGAAAATTTGAATTGGCTCTCATCAGGAATGGTCTCACCACATTTTGCATTGTACAAAAAAAGTTGCATTATGTTAGATAGGAGCTTTTCTCTTTTTTAAAGTAAAAGAATGGGGCAAACATATATATATATATATTCACCAGGCAAAGGGTTTAAATGTGATAAAAATGTGTTATATGTTCACTCAGCATTCAAACAACCTTCCTAATTAATGAAACTCCATTACTGTGTATACTGATGGTAGGCAGGAAATCAAGAAGGCAAATGGTTTCTCTATCCCCTTCAGATTTCCAGGATACAGAGGCATGAACTAGCATCTGCCACTCAAGACTTACCTTGAAGAAGTGATGCACAGCCAGGTAGTATTCATGGTGTCAGTGAAAAAGTCAACAGTTCAACGATGAGAGCAGTTTGTTCCTGAAATGGAAGTAAGTGGAAATACGAATAAATGTCCTATAATGAAGGCAGCAATAGTAGCATCTTAATCACTTGTTTCTTGGCCACAAAGACTATTCTGGCTCATGTTTTTTAACTACACTGGATCTCCCAGCATTCCCACAGATTCTTTAAGCTGCTTTATATCCTTTCAATCAATTTTGTTACTTGTGATCAAGAATGTTGACTGATAAAATAGGTATGAAGTGTTGTAGATGTTGCAATTATTACAGCTCACAACTATGATAGGAACAGGGATAGGAATAGGGATAGGGATAGATTAGATAGATAGATAGATAGATAGATAGATAGATGGATGGATAGATAGATAGATAGATAGAGAGAGAGATAGAATAGATACACGATGGAAGGAAGGAAGGAAGGAAGGAAGGAAGGAAGGAAGGAAGGAAGGAAGGAAGGAAGGAAGAGCAGGAAGAGAAATACAAGAATAAGAAACAACAACAAAAAAAACAGAACAAGAACTACTACATTCTTCTGCTTCTACAGGCAAAGAAATAATCCCTGCAATGCTCAACACTCACCACAGCATCTAAGAATGAGTGACATTGCACCAGCACATTTTAAGACCAAGAAAGAGCTATACAGCATAGGAAAAGTAAAAAATACTGCTGTGTTTCTTACAAATCATAAAATAACATAATTGAGAAGTAATCAGTTATCAAATAAATGTTAATGGATTAAATTCCTCTATTAAGATGCAATCATACATTTACTGGGTTAAAAAGAGCATTAAAAATTAAAAGTACATGAGGGTAGAAAAAAATTCAGAGTCTAAAAATATGCACAGCACTTTTACAAATAAAATTATTGGATTTATAACCAATAAAACCAGAAATAAAATATTTTAAGTTGAATTTTTATAAATTCATATTTTTTCTGAATGATCTCTGAATCAAAACAAAAATAAAACTGAAATTTCCAAACACTCACAATGTAATAAAAAACAGGATAGTTTATACTCAAATCTATGTGCTGTAAAGTATAAAAGATGAAAGGAATGAAGGGAGGAAGAACGGGAGAAAGAAAGAAGTAAGTAAATGAATTATCTTCATTGAATGTAAAGAAATTAGGATAAGAAAAATATATATACCCTAAGAAAGAACAAAGACTGATCTAACATTTCTAAATGAACTGAGAATAAAAATGAAAAAAGATACAACGTTACTAAGACCAAAGATTGAATCTTTGAAAGACAAATAAAATGGACAACTTCTGAAACGACTGGTTAAGAATAAATGATAGTACATTTTTACATTAAAAATAAAGTATAAAAATATCATGAGCAAATTCAATACACAACTCAGGGAATATAATTTTGCAATACTAAAGGAAATGGCTTATTTTCTAACAAAATATAGCGTGCTATAAGGGTTGTTTTGTTTGTTTGTTTTGTTTTATGGTGAAAGAAATAACACTAATAGATACATGACCATATATTCTATTGGAGAAGAAATTCCAGTGGAGCTATTTGTGTGCAATTGTGTGTGTGATGGAGGGAGGCAGGGTGGCTGGATGGCTGCCTCATTGACCATAACATCAATACTGAAGATCGTGGAGGAACCTCTCTGGACCCCACAGCTCAAGAGAACACAGTATGTAACCACTGTTGAGGATGATAAAAAAGTCACTGAGGGAGTCTGTACAGTAAAGCATCATGTTCACTGCACATGCTCAGTCTCTCCAAAGTGACGAGAACAGCTTGTGGGATGGAGAGAAAAGGGATGCAGTGTCCAAAGTTGGGGCACTGTTGCTGGGGAGACATGAAAAAAACCTGAGGCAGGGCAATATGAAAACACACAGGGATAAAGGGTCAGGGATAAATAAGAGAAATATTCTGAATGTAAAATTGACCTTGCTAAGTGACAGATCGTAAGGTCTAATTAGGAAACAGGAAGGCTTCTAGAACTGGTTCCAGCTCTAGGTCATGTGCAGCTGGGGTGCGGAGTGGGGATCAGCAAGCAAGATAAGGAGAATAGAGAAAAAAAGGAGTACAGCAGGTTGAGGGAAGGGCCTGAAAAATTAACAAAGGGACAAAATCCACTTCTCTAGAGTTCTGTTGCCTCTCTGAGCCAGTGTGGAGTGCACCGAGTGCTTGCTGTAGTGAACCAACTCCAAGAATCAGGATTTGTCTGTGCACAAATTTTTCAAAGTAAAATAGCTTAAAATTTCCAGTTTTTGCTGTGAAAAGCAGCAGTTTATATTCATTAGAATTAAGGCTATCTAAAAGCTACAGACATCCAAAAAATGAGCAATGGCTTAAACAATATAGAAATGTATTTGCTTGTATAACTAGAGCACTCTTGCCCTGGTTTAGCAATTTCACAATTGTTCAGGGCCACAGCTTCTTCTATCTTGTCCCAAGAACCTTGAAAGCTTCCACTTCATGGTCCAAATTGGCTATTCCATATACAGTCAATATATCTACCTCCTGCTTCCAAGAAACAGGAAACTGGAAGGCATGTCTCTTTCCTTTAAGTATGCCTTTCAAAATTTACCAAACCAATTTCCCTTAAATCTCATTATATTGCATAAACACTTGACCTTGCTTTACTGAAAGGGAGACTGGGTAATTTAGTTTTTATTTTATGTGCCCACCTCAAATTGAAAGGTGCTATTACTACAGAAGAAATGGAGGTTGTATTTTAGAGGATAACCATATAGTTAATTAACAATGAGAATTTTTTTTTTGCATTCTAGCATGTGGATAAATAATGTAATTATGCCTGTTAGTAAGATAGAAACTTCTTAATAATGACAACAAGGCATGAAAACATTTAGATCTAAATTTCTTGAGTTGACCAATTCATTTTATTCCTGTAACACCTATTACTGGTTTTTAACCCATGTGACTCTGTTTTATAGACACTGCTACAGAAGCTTATGCTTTCGGGTTTCCTTGGCATCTTTTTAGTTTTTCTATCTATTAATAATGGATATATCAAAGTTTTGTTGCCTATTGTGCTGTACTGAAAATTTGAGCAAAGGAATTGAATGACAGTCACACAGTTCAAAGAATATAGGGAAAAAATCTGTAAGCAAAGACAGCAAATAAAATAAAAGAGGACTTTGAAGGCCAAGGGCGCAAAGCCAAGAAACGGAAAAGAACAAATCAAGTGGAAGAGAAAATAATAAAGGAGTTTTCTCTGAAAGGAAGAAAAACATGAGAAATAAAATATTGGAGAAGTAAAAAAATATGAGAATGACCCCCCAAATCCAACTGATATCATTAAGGTGGGATTTTGATTGCACCAAATCCTTTCTAATTATAATAGTATTAGTAGTATTATGTACTATAAAAACATAAGTCTAGAACTATCTCTAGAGATAATGAGGCTACGTCTAAAAATGCCATGGCTAAATATTCTGGCAATCACTCAATTTAATTTTTTTATTGACTCATTTATTTAAAAGAGTTCAAATAGATTGGTCACATACACAAATTTGAATACTTCAATGGATGCCTACCAAGAAAACTGGGGATAAAGCAAGGAGGAAAGATTTTAAAATTAGCTCTCTTAGCCTTGCTTCCCCAAAACTTTCTTGCTTGTAAATGTATTTTTATTTGAATTGCATGAAATTTAAAAAGCCTATTTCCCAAGGAATCCTGACTTCTTATGGAAGTAAAGAAATGATGCATTATTATCTACATTTATTTCTAGGGTAGCAATATCAATTTAATTAGGTATTCTTCATGTAAGAATGATTTAAATATAATGCAAGAATATTTATTTCCAGAGGAACATAATACATCCCAACATTTTTTTTCAAAATCCAAACGTTGCAATTAAGGAAGAAGTCTCTTATGTAGACTCAATAATTACAATTTCTTCCTTTGAAAAGGAAATTATAAATAAGTCTAGAAACAACATTTAATTAAAATCAGTGACTTTCTGCAATAAAATTTCCAAGAAGAAAACATATAATTCTGATAAGTTCTGACACACATTTTAAAAAACAGCTGCAGAAATGGGCTTCATAAAGTATCTTGACTGGAGAATATACATATAAAAAGACCAAAATAAAATAAGGTGATGAGGGGAAGTAAAATAAAGAGTTGGGGTCAATAGACCTTGCTTTCTATCTTCTATGGAATATTGTACCTAAATTCAGTATCTCCATACTTACCTCATATAACTCTATCATTCTTTGATACCGATGAGAATTATTTTGACCTATGAGAATTCTTGTATTTTGTACTTGACACTGTGAGAAATGTTTACAGAATTGTAGATGCCAATATTTCCAACATTATGAACTAAGCAGCTTCTAAAGTAACATTTTGTAAATACCCTGGTATTTCAGAGCCACAAAAAAAAATCTGAAATACATGTACATGATAAAAGAGGCTAAATGGATGAATGAAAAGTATTTAGAGGGCTGGATGAATGGCTCAGTTGGTTAAGAGCTCGCTCAAGAGTGTGAACTCTGAGCAACAGCAGTTTCACTCCCAGCCCGAGCTGAGCTGCCAACAGGTGGCAGGATGGCTCAGCTAAAAAAAAAAAAAAAAAAAAAAAAAGTATTCAGAAACCAAGATCTGGGAGTGAGGCACTCCTGTTACTTGGCCAATTTTAAGAAAAGTCTCCTCTATCTGATGGGATAAGTGTGTTTCAAGCAAGGGGGATATTTTGAGAGGGATTTTTTTTATGGCAATGAGACTTTTACTGTAATAATTTTTTTTAATTTAAATATTCACCATATTTTTTATCACATCTCATAAATGACCAAAGTAAAAGTGAGTTTTGCCCATCAAGAAGACAAAGTATGGCTAAAATGTGAAGACCAAACAAGAAATCTGGTACCAGAATCCTGAAGCTGTAGACCAAAGTTTGAGCATCATTTTATTCTTAAGCCGATGAACGTATTTCCTATTTCCTAAACAAATTATCTCTAAGAATACCACCAGCTGTAAAATCCTGGAATTAGAGCTGAGGTGTGTAGTGATGAATTTTCTAGAAAGCTTA